TATGAAAAACATTCCCATGTGTAACGACACTTGACAAAATGTTACGTTTCGATCGTTGACTGTGTTCTGTGACTTTGTGTTTTATGATGCAAATAAACAAACAAACAAAACACATGAGCCAAGAACTGTTTCAATAAAGTAAAGTTCTTTTTATATACATAGTTTTGAGTTAGTAAATTTGTTTTCAATAGGACATTTATGTTTCATACATTTATCTAAATATGCAAAAACAACAACAAAAAAAAGCTTTGGGTGCTGTTTAAGTTAAGCAACAAACTGATTTATTATGTGAACTTAAGTTAAACTCACTAAAATAGAAATGTCGGTGTTACTCAGTGAATTTAATGAAAACTAAACAATTTTGAGGCAATGAGTTTGTATATACTTTTTAAATAAGGAGAAATGAATTAGGTATTATAGTGTATTTTTGCTGTCTTTTGCCATTTCTCTGGTGTTTACACCTGATTGGAGTTTTAAATTAAACCAACTTAAAGAAAAATAAAAGTTTACTTTAAACAGACACTATTGACTGGATAACATTTTGTGCCGTGGCTTCACAATTTGTTGGCGTAGTCGTCTCCAAAGTCAATCATCAGCCTCAACGCACTCAGAATCAGAGCGTCGATGTCTGGATTCAGTTGAATTTCATGACTGTAGTTCTTCACTGGGAGGATGCAGTTCATTGGGATCCCCAGATGGGGGCTGAAGTCAGTCATCTGTTGAAAAAAATAAGTTTATTAAGAGTCTGATACAGTGAGAGAGAATCTTATGTTTCTGCAGCTCACCTTTTTCTTTAAATATTTGCTCCTGTAGACGTTTCTGATATTTGTTTCTGTTTCCCTACAGGCTGCATCAATGTGGGTGAGAATTGCCAGCTGAGGGATTCCTGTGGATACAGAGAGTTTATTGAGCAACTTTATAGATTATTAGTAATTAATATATCAAGTACATCACAGCAATGCAAGGTTTCCCCCATAAAACTTGCTAAGCCTGGCGGTTGGGCATTAGGGCAGTCCACTGGCCCACTGTGTTTTTGAGTTAAAAGATGTTTAAAGTTGACAGAACATTTGAAAATATCACTTGATAATTATGTGTTATTGAAAGATTTTTAGATTAATACCTGATCATCAACTATAAATTCTTAAGAAAATGCAAACATTTTAAAAAGACTTAATAAAGTAAGCAATGCTAAGCCTGGTGGGGGTACAAGTAAAGCCTGTACCCGCCAGGCTTATAATACACTGGAAGAAACCCAGGAATGCTTCTAAGATGCCATAAGAGTAATTTTTGAAAATCTAGAAATAAGACATTACAAAAAGAAAAAAATAGACAAATCAGAAAAATGTTACCTTAACTTTTGTACACAATTTTGTCCTCCTACATTATACAACCAACTTGCGTACACAGCTGCATACATTTCCCTGAATAAGAATGTGATTGTATAATTTGTTTCTTACCCAGATCACTGGCTGCTTCTCTGATTTCCTTCATTTTCTGTAAAACTGATGACCTCATTTCTGATGCATTAGCAGAATAAATGCAGACCAGAACATGAACTCTGTCACTGATGGACGGGGAAGAGATGTAGCCAGGATCACCATCAGAAAGGGGAGATGAAGGATTAAACTGTGGAAATAAATGATGCAATTATGAGAAATTTGTGTGGATAATATAGTTTCACATACAGTATAGTGAGGTAGTGATAGTGTTTTAGAATCTGAGCCAAATAGACCATGACTTTTTAGGTGATTGTTAAAAATTATTTTAAAAATATATATTTATACCTTATATCCATCCTTCATATGACCCTTCATAGCCAGTTTGAGGTCGTCTGTTCTGACTCCTTTTCCATCACCGTCCTCCAGACCCATGATGTCATTGAACACAAAAGGATAAAAGTTTCCCTTTTCTTTCTTGATTTTATAGGTTTGATACTGAAAGAAAAAGAGTTAGGTTTTTATGTAGGCAGTACACAAATCTTCTGAAAAATCTTCTTCAAAATATATGAACTATTTTATTTTCAAACTGAAATTTGCTTTATAAAATAAAAATCTGAACAAGGAGCTACTCTAAATCTTGGTGTATATTTCAACCTCTAAAGGTGAATAGAGGGTGAATGTGTAATAAAACCCTCTATTTTTTCACATTTTATACTATATAGTATGAGCAAATTTTTCACTCAGACATGTGGAGATTGCCTGTCCATGGTGCACACCGACTCTCATCCATTGACCCCTGAAGACCCCACCAGGATACGCGTGTAAGACGATGGATGGATGGATGGATGGATGGATGGATGGATGGATGGATGGATGGATGGATGGATGGATGGATGGATGGATGGATACTGAGCTGATACACAAAGCTGACACAAGTAAAAAGTCATAATATTTGAAAATGTGAATGAGCCTTTAAAACCGAACAAAAAATGAAATTCACCTTCTTGGTGAAACTGTGATCAGCGGCTATGTTGTTGACCAGAGCATCATTGGTCATTCTCCCTTGCAGGACGTTGTTGACAGAGTTGATGAAGCTGGACTTTCCGGCACCGACTGGGCTGTACAGCAGAACTCTGATGGCTTTGACTTCTTCATTTTGAGGTTGAAAATTCTTCATGTACTGCAGAAGTTCATCTTTGTTTCTGTTGAAATGTGAAAATAAGAGTTACAATTAAAGTGATCTACCAGAACAAATATCTTCCTTAAAATCAGACTTGGGTAGTAACTAGTTACATTTACTTGAGTAACTTTTTAGAAAAGTTTAGAAAAAAATGTACTTTTAGGAGTATTTTTGCTATGCTGTACCTTTTACTTTTACTTGAGTAATTTTATTGAATTTTCTCTACTCTTGAGTAAAATTTCTGGATTTTCTACCCATTGAATGAAAAAAAAAACTTGTTTTAACCAAAACTTCATGAGACACCAGACACACACACCTCCAGTTTCTGTTAAAGTTTTACATGCAAAGAAACTGATTTTGGATTTAAGAAAAAATATATTTTGCCTGATTTCGTTTCCTTTTTTATATTTATATATTTACATTAATTCTTGTCATTTTGGTCCTTAAGATACCAATGCTTCCACTTGACTTTATATTTTGGTACATATGACCATGTCAATTTTTAAATATCAAATTATTAATTTCATCAGTTACTCAGTACTTGAGTAGACGTTTTTATTAATTGCTTTTTTACTCTTGAGTAATTTCTTGGATGACTACTTTTTTACTTTTACTTGAGCAAAAATATATTGAAGTAGTGCTGCTCTTACTCGAGTAAAATCTTTGGCTACTCTACCCACATCTCTTTAAAATGCATAATTATCCTGAATTTGAGTATCGATGTGAGGATCCTGTTTTAAATCAATACAAATCAGATTTTGTCCTGCTTGAAAGTGAGGAGAAAGACGTGACTCAAAAAATAAATCTTTGATTATTTGGTGGATAAAGTCAATACCCAATTGGGAAACTCCGAATTTATAGTTAACAAAGACCTTGGATTGGGAAGCCATGGTATTTTTTAATACCATGGCCTCCCTTTGGCTGCAAACCACTCCAGTAAAGGCCATAGATCACGACCTGATGAACTCAGTAGAATCACATCATCTGCAAAACACAGGGATGCGATCCTAAGGCCACCAAACCGATCCGCTCAACACTTTGGCTGTGCCTAGTTATTCTGTCCATAAATGTAATGAACCAAACCTTAACCCTGTGGGACACAGTCGAACAAGGGGAATATCATAACTTGTGCTTGGAGCTAAGAGTTAAAATATCATTGCACTAAATATTGACTGAAATTTTTAACAATGGACTTAGAAATCAGATTTTTTTTAAAAATGTTTCTGGGAAAAAAATGATTTTGGTACTACCACATATTTAAAAATTCATGCAGCTCAGAAATGAACATAATAGGAGAGTTAAGGAAAACTGAGATTAAACAGGCAGTGATCTGCTGCCTGATGAGGCAAAAAAGCAACAAACGCATTGGTAACATCCAGATGGACAAAAAGAAATTTACTCACTCCCAGGATATTTTTCTCCATGGATTTTCCAAAGCTGTAGTGGAAAATTAAGAGAAATGTCTTTAAAAAACACGCAATGGTAAGCAAAAAAAAATCACATTTAGATTATATTTGATTTATTATCAAGGTTGAGTTAGTCAAACAATCCAGCAGTTCATTTGGTCATTTAATGAAGAAGCAAAAAACAACAAACAAGCTCTGCTTAAGTGGTGGCAGTGGAGGAGCTAAACACAGCACAATACATTAAGTTGTTTTGGGTCAAAACTATTAATGAATAAATGGTAAATTTTTACAGTGAGCTTATGAAATAGTGGACATGAATAGTGTAAAATGTTTGAATTGGATTCCTCGGACTCGACTTGAGAGGAAAGGAAATCAGGCTTTCTCTGTTGTTGCTCCTATTCTATGGAACAATTTACCTGTCCAGATTAGATCTGCCCACAGCCTGGATCACTTTGAATCGCCTCTGAAAACTCATTGTTATTCTTTGACATTTATTTGAAGTAATGTTTTGATACTTTGTTTTTGTCAATTTGTGTTGTTGTCGTTCCTGTACAGCACTTTGGTACAGTTTTACACCTGTTTTTAAAGTGCTATATAAATAAATTTGACATCGACATTAAATTCCAGGATATTGAGGCCGTAAAGCAGCCTTGATATCTTCAGTGAGAAGGTGAGTTCATTTTTGTGAGTTAAAATATCCACAATAAACAGTCATTGCTTTCAGTCTCTGTTTCTAAGTTATAAAACAGACACAACAAGTCAAGTAAAAAACTTGTCATGAGGATTACATTATTAAAATTCAAATCACGCTTCCATTACTATACTTTTAGATTTTATTCTGTTGCTCATCACAGCAATTCTGGATGTACAGGGGAATTTTACTGCCATAAGTCGAGAGCACACATTTTCATTCTGAAACCAGGACTTTGGATCTTTTGTTCTCAAAACTTAAAATGCTTGCACTCAAAACTTCTGTTCCCTTTTAAATATTCTCTGCGTTCTCTCAAACCTTTCTCCTCACGCTCAAAACGTCTCTCTGCTTGGATCAAATCTGCACTTGCAAACCTCTCTGCTCGCTTATGAATTATTTTCTGCCGTCTCTCAAAACTTTTTGTTTCGAGAGACGCCTGGCAACCTCTCAGCCAATAAAATGAGAGTTTTATTCTGGGTGATTTTGTTTCTTTCTAGTGGATGAAGATGGCAACAGCAGTAGCAGTTAAACCTGTAACCAGCGGGTTGCCAGTTTGAACCTGTCTCCTTCGTTTTGTCCTTGGACAAGAAACTTCGCCCATCTGGCCAGTGGTCAGAGGACTCAGGGGTGTCAACAGCAGCCTCACCTTTGTCAGGCTGAATCAAAGCAGCTGTGGCTACAGTGTAGCTTACCACCATCAGCATGTTAATGTGCGGCTGAATGTCTAACTGCAGTGTGAAGCGTGTTATAATTCGCTGGACTTAATCCTCTCAACCTGATAAACCACTACTAGTGACTAGTTTTACAGTTTCAATCTATAATGTTAATTTCTAATGCTTTCACTGTTACTTTGTTTCACTTTATAATGTAGTTATTTTAAAATAGAAAACTGATGCAATTAATTATTTACGTGTATTTCAACCAAACAATCCTGTATTACTTACGTGAACTTGAAGCACCGCTCCTCATGACTGGAACTGAAACGTGCTGTGAGAGAGACAGAGAAGAAAAAGTTAGTTTTTTCCCGTCCAAATTGTTTTTGAATGTTTTTTTTTTCTGTTTGTTTCACGACTTTTTATGCTAAACCTTTAAAGCAATAAATGTAAAAATTTTTGTTTCTTCTAAAAATACAAAAGAATTTACTTGTTTGAAGTATTAAAAGCTGCAATATGTAACTTTTACAAACCTATATCTTTTTATTTGTTAAAGTTCTCCACATGTCGTGACAGTATGCTGTAAAAATTGACCTCCTCCATCTCTGTCCTGAACCAGTATTGCCGTCTGCGAAAATGCAACTCTGCCAGGAAGAAACAACCAATCAGAGCCCGGAGGAGGGTCTTAGTGGTGTCAGTAATGTTCGTGTAGTGTTACTGACACCGTTATCGGTGCCCATGCTAACATTTAGCACTAAGACCCTCCCCCCGGCTCTGATTGGTTGTTTCTGATGGAGCAGGCTATTTGTCCAAATGAGTGAAGGACCATAGGGAGAAGGCAGTGGAAAGCGTTAGCAGAATCAATTTACATTCAGTCTTGAAAACATCGGATCGTTCCAAATGGTAAAATGTTCCCTGATTTCAAAACTTCATCACTTGTCGTGAAACCTGGTTGGGACTGATTGAGATCTTTCCAGGACACACAGAAAACGGGTCACAGAGGCCGAGAGGCAAGAAATAATCTTGAATTATGATTTAATGATGATTGAAATTTATGTAAGCTTGTTTTGAATGTACTATTAATTAAAGTTATGAGTTATGTGATTCTGATTAGAAAGTCGAAAAGCAGAGGTCATAAATGGATAAAAGTAATGACTGTAGATTAGATAAAAATTAGATAGAAGTGTCTTTTACTGTGTCGCAACAAGAGGCTGGGTGGAGGCAGAACTGTGAGCATGGAAGAAAAAGGGGTAGCACTTTATTTGAAGGGGGGTGAATAAGACTGTCATGACACTGTCATAAACATGACATAACACCTGTTATGAACATGAATAAGCCTTCATGAATATTTATGACTGTTGTCATAAAGCGTCATTCGGTAAATTATGACACTTTTAATACAAAGTTGACATTATTCAAAATGTCTTTGTTATAACAACTTGACATTAACCAAGAAATCGTTACTGATATAAATTTGTTACAAAAGTAATACTGATTGCACTTTAAAAATTAGGTAACTTTATGTTATTAAAGGTAAAGTTTAAACAGATTTCCTGGTTAATGTCAAGTTGTCATAACAAAGACATTTTGAATAATGTTAACTTTGTATTAAAAGTGTCATAATTTACCGAATGACGCTTTATGATGACAGTCATAAATATTCATGAAGGCTTATTCATGTTCATGACAGGTGTTTATGACAGTGTCATGTCAGTCTTATTCAACCCCCTTCAAATAAAGTGTTACCAAAAAAGGAAGTTCAAGAGTTTGAAAGGTCAGCAGTTGATCGAAAACGCCCAACACCCAGGAAAAAGGGGAAGTTGGGTGAAGAAAAGTACGAGTATGGAAACCGCTGAGGCGTTCACCACCAGAATATAGAGAGCACAAAAATACATGAGAAGGAAGAACTGGTGTTCTTTGTTCCGCAGCGTTTGAGTCAAGATCACACGAAGGTGCAGAATCAACTGATGGCTGCGTATTGATACCCCGGGATGGTGAAGACTGCGCGCTGCCCAAGAAGGGAACAAGATCCGTTTACCCACAACCCGGGATTCTGATTTGACAAATAGCCCCACACTCAATCCAAAAGATTTCAACTACGCTGCAGTGGACATGGGGGATAGACAAAGATCACTTATGGATAAAGAACTGAGTTCATGGAGGATATTCACCAGTTCAACTTTGGATCTATTCTAAAAAGGATTATGCCACAGCAAGACAGGACTCTGACCATGGAAATTAAAGGTTTCTGCTGCCAAGACCAACTCAGCATCTAGGGACGAGTGGAACTGCATCCCAAAGCCTCTCTTTAGATCAGTGACACAGTGTAGGGATTAGAAGGAGGAGTAATTTCTAAATTTCTTAAATATGTTAATCTCTTGATTTTTTTTATTTATTATTTATTTAAGAAGCTGCATGTCATTTTCCCCTGCTAAAGCTTGCTAATAAAACATTAAAGTCTAATTGATGCTGTGGACAGTTAAATTAATTAAGGTAACTAAAAACCAATTCTTCTGGTTAATGTAAAGTCAATGTTCATGATCCTAGTAAACTAGGGGGCTTCAGACGTTTCTTTGGTTATGATAAATAATGACCCTGGGACTCGTGCCGAGTTTCTAAAATGATCTACTGTAACAAGTGCACGTTATTAATAAAGAAAGAGCTACCGTTAACAGGAATGGTTTTTGAACAGACTTTTGCGGGCTACTTAAATGACTGTTTCATTAACTGTAAAGGGTCACAGCTTCTGGATCTGAAGGTAGTTAGAGTCTAGACGCATCTTTCTCGCGCCCAGCTTAAACAGAATGTCCTCTAAATTCTCATCTGGAGTAATACTCAGGAATTAGAGGCTTCTCGGACCCGTTAGGTGGAGAGCTGGACAGTAGTCAGTCTGCTGGAGTCTGAGGGGAGGTAATTTGGATGTGGCTGACTATTGGGTGATAACACACTGCAGAGAAGTTAAATGTATTCAGCTCGATAATATGATGTAGAGAGACAGAAAGAGAGAGATGCTGTACTTTTGAAGTCATTCCTTCAAAAGACAGAGAAGTCTGACTTATTATTACTTAGATACAGAAATTGCTGCATTGAGCCAACTAAAGAAACGTTAACTTCATCAATAATTTTGTTACTGACAGGTTATTAATCACATTTATTAATAATTACAAAAGGCAAACAATAATGTAAATTTTGGATCCCAACATTTGTACATTTTAAGTTAAATCAACTCAACGACAAAAACATTTTCTTTAAGAAAGTGCACCTCTGCCTGATAAAAGGACTCTAACACTATTTTAACTCTTTTTTTTTTTTACTGATTTGAACAAAATGTTGCTGTGATTTCCATGCATATCACACACTGACTTACACTGTTTTTAGCGTAGCTGCCTCCAAAGTAAATCATCAGCCTCAGAGCGTTCAGTATCAGAGTGTCGACGTCTGGATCCAGTTGAATTTCATGACGGTAGTTCTTCACTAGGAGGATGTGGTTCTTTAGGATCCTCAGACTGGATCTGAAGTCAGTCATCTGTTTAAATGAAGCTGTACATTCAGAATTACATATTTCTTTCCCTCTTGTTTTTAATAAATCTTTCTATGACTCACCTTTTTCTTTAAATGTTTGTTCCTGTAGATGTTTCTCAGATTTTTTTCTGTTTCACCACAGGCTTCATCAATGTGGGTGAGAATCAACAGCTGAGGGATTCCTGTGGATACAGAGAGTTTTTCTTGCGTGGGTTAGACATGAATATATTTTTAACAAGTACAGCAGAGGAGCAAATCATAAAAAGTGGGAAACATTCAAGACCATTTCATTTTTGTAACACATCTTTTTCCACCAACATTATGCGACAAATGAATGTTATTGACAAAGTGTTTACAGTATTTACTCATTGATGTTTGTTGTTACATTACTTTGATGAATTTAAGTTTGATTGTACAATTTGTTTCTTACCCAGCTCTTTGGCTGCTTCTCTGATTTCCCCAATTTTCTGTAAAACGGACAACTTCATTTCTGATGCATTAGCAGAATAAATGTAAACCAGAACATGAACTCTGTCATTGATGGACGGGGAAGAGATGTAGCCAGGATCACCATCAGAAAGAGAAGCTGAAGGATTGAACTGTGGAAAAACATAATGTATATTAAGTCAAATTGATACTAAATGCATATACCTCATATAAGGGAAGCTAAATTTGATGGATTTAGGACCTGAGCCTTTTAGGTGATTGCTGAGGATAAGTTTTAAGGTTTTTTTTTTTTTTTGCTTTAGTGGTCTTTATGCATTACTACCTGGACTGGAAGAAAAAAGAGGGAAGAGAGCAAAAGACAGATGCATTGAGGAATGTGGCCTCTGAAAATGATAAGCCTGCTCTACCACTGAGATATGTGGTGCCCCATTTTAAAAGTAAATGTATATATTTATACCTTATATCCATCCATCACATGTCCCTTCAAGGCCAGTTTGATGTCGTCTGTTCTGACTCCTCTTCCATCTCCGTCCTCCAGACCCATGACGTCATTGAACACAAAGGGATAAAAGTTCCCTCTGCCTTCTTTCTTGATTTTATAGGTTTGATACTGAGAGGATAAAAGGAGATAAAAGTTTATGTAAACACTAAGCAAATAGCTTCAAAAAATAGAAAATTGAAACTGTGAGAAGAGCTGCAAACTATGGAAGACCAAAACTTACGTAATTAAAAATAAAAGCAGAAATATATATTGTGCGTTCTTTTCCTTACCCATGTGTTTTCATTAAAAATATATAAATATTTTTCCTTGCAAACTATTTCACTGATAAACCTTCAATTTGTCTGACTAAATAAAATTATTATCTCAGTGCTAATCTAATTTTAGTGTCTCAGTTCCTAATAAGTCTGTAACCACTGAGTGTCAGAAAAGGTTGTGCATTCTGCCATGTTACTGATTATTCAGTAGAATTAGGGCACAAGAAAAACATTTTAACTCCACATTTTCTTACACAAATGCAGATTTTATCCTTTAAAACATAGGGTTACATTTTGACTTGAGCATGAATATGAAATATAAACAAATTTTACACTTTATAGTATAAAGTATCATCTAACTTTTCCTTCAGACATGTAGAAACCGAGCTGATACACCAAGCTGACACTTAAAAGTTTGAATGAGCTTTTAATGCTGAACAAAAAAATATATTCACAACCTTGGTGAAACTCTGATCAGAGGTTGTGGAGCTGGCCAGAGCTTTATGGGTCATCCTCCCTTGCAGGACGCTGTTGACAGAATTGATGAAGCTGGACTTTCCTGCACCGACTGGTCCACAGAGTAAAACTCTGACGGCTTTGACTTCTTTATTTTGAGGTTGAAAGTTCTTCACATACTGCAGAAGTTCATCTTTATTTCTGTTAATATGTGAAAATAAAAGTTACAAATATAAATTTTAAACTTATATTTGTAAGTTTAAAATTTACAGAATATTCTGCCAGAACAAACTTGTTGCTACTGAGCGCCTGTAGGGCTTCATTTACATTTTGTTAGGATCATGTAGGAGCAGAGGTGAAAGTAAGGGGGTACGGCAGGGTACTGCGTACCCCTAAAAGATTTAGCGGGGGTACGCAGTACCTGCAAGAGAGGGGAGCGGCTGTCAGCTGTAAAAAGTGCACCCATCAGGCGTGACTGATTAATTTTTCAAGAACAATCTAAAACATGACTTAATCAGTTAAGAAATAACTTTTTTCCCATTTCATATTGTTTCTGAACTGTTCGTGTTTTGCTAGAGCAGGGCTGCAACACGTCGATCACGGAAGGTTTTGAGTCGATCTCGGCATTAGATGACAAACAATAGTCTCCTTTGGACTATTCAAATTACAACTCTGAATCTCTGAAACTCTGATGTTACAACTCTAAATAAAATATCAGAGTTGTAATTGTCATCCTGAGACGAGAACATTTTGGTCACTTTTATACAAAATTCAAGAAACTGCATATTGTTCCTCTTTGGTGTTCCACATGCAGAGAGGTTTTCCAGTACAGCAGCCATCTATGCCTCAGCAGATCAACTGGAAAACTTCAATACCTCCTATGGAAATGAAGTTAATTAAAACACAGTTTGAGATCTGTGGAAATAAAAGAAGAAAAATGTCTACTCAATTTTAGGCATAGGAACACCTTACATGGGATTCTATTCTTTTAACCATAATTACAGATTCTGTAAAACATAAGTTGTGATTAGAATTGTTTTTGTCAATGAATAAAATGGGGGTTACTTTGTTGTTGTTTTTTTTGTTGTTTTGTGTATTTTTTAGTATTTTTTATGAAAAAATCTACACTGATCAACTCTTTCTGCAATTCTGCCAGTTGAGAGACACATACTGTGCAGCTGTTGTTCCTTTTACATTGTTTTATCTGTTTTCTTTGACAAAACCTGAAATTAACTTCATAATAACTTACTCAAATATGCCAAGCTAAACAAGTTAGAAAACATTAAGAAAACTTGATAGGATTATAAATTGGTTGTTTTACTGTCTGATGATGCAAAGAGCAACAAACACACTGGTGACATGCAGATGTACAGAAACAAATCTACTCACCCCCAGGGTATTTCTTTCCATGGAGTTGTTAAAACTGTAATAGAAGATAAAGAGCAACGTCTTAAAGAATTAGTCTTGCAAAAAGTAAGCAAAATTTGATTTAATTTGTATTTGATAAATTACAATGGATCCAATTCATTTGATACATTCCAGCAGTTCATTTGATAATTGATGAAGGAGCAAAAAACTTGTTTTGATGTAAATCCAGTTATACTTACGTGGAGGAGCTAAACACAGCAAAACAGATTAAGGTTAAGATTACTTAAGTCAAAACCATTACTGTTATAAGATTAGCTATGTTTTGTTTGAGAGTGAAAATAAACGGAAGAATTAGTAACTGAACTTATTTTGAGTATGTAATTGGACACAATCAGTTGAATTTTGTAATTAAAATTCAAATCTTGCTTCCGTTACTATACTTTCAGACTTCATTCTATTACTTGTCACAGTAGTTTAGAATTATATTCTATGATTATTTCTAATGGTTTAACTGAAGCTTAATTTCACTGAAGTACTTTAATTTAAAAAGTTACTTTAATAGGATCAATGATTAGTTGTAACAATAGACTTTATTTGAGAAATATTTATATTAGATGTAAAAACAATACAGTAATAATACTGTATGCTGCTTAGTTGGGTTATTTTTTTTATAATAAATTTTGATAAAATATTGTCACATGAACGTCACCATGTTGTTCATACTGCAATGCATTCTGGGTACTACTGCCGCAGAGCTCCTGTAGCATTTAAAGTGCTTCTAGCCCGGCGGTGGGGTTTAGGCGCTTAGTGGATGAAAACTGCTGGCAAGGCAGTTGTTTTTAGCTTGTTAAGGTAATAATCTCCTGATAGCGCCTTTGTCAGTTTTGCTCGTACAAATGACAAAGTCTTCTGGAGAGAAATATTGAGGGCACAAATGTATGTCCTTTGGAAGTTGGGCTCCGGCTCTTTGTTTTGTTTTTCTTTTATTTAGTTTTTTGGCTGTAATAGACTCGTCACTCGTATATTACAGAGAATAGTAATATACACCAATAATTTACTGGTGTAATTATTTAAAATTACACCAGTAAAATGCAATATGATAAGCTACTCAGGTAAATTTAGCCTTCCTGTGTTTCCTCTGTAAATTCCAGAATGAAATGGACCAAAACACATCATTACCTTGCCCTGAAGATAATTTAGTAATGCTTCCATTACTATACTTTTAGACAAGTACTCATCACATCAGTTTAGAATTATATTCTATAATATTAATTTATAATTTAACAATAGGTTAATTTCATTTAATTATGTTAGGTAATTTAAAACTGAAAGTAACTTTAAATCATAAAACTGCAACAACCATGCGTTACTTACCAGGTGAAGAAGAAGAACCCCCCATGACTGGGACAAAAATGTGCTATGAGAGAAAGTGTGAGAATGAAGACTTAGTTTTTTCTCTCCATATTGTTTTTTATTATTTTACTAATAATAATAAGTTTTAGCTTAGTTTTAGAAGCTACAAAATAAATGAATTCAGGATGGATGCAAATCCTTATGTCATTTCCACCCCTCAAGGCAGATACCAGATTGCTGAAGAGTTCAAAACACAAAAACAACCCAAAGAGAGGACAGAGAGGGCCTCAGAAGGAGGACTAGGACAAAAACAAGACTATAGTTTGTAATATCATGAAAGTGCAGAGAGTCTGCAGGCGGAGAACAGCAAGAGCAGGATCCTTGGAGGCCTTGAGGCCGGAGAAACCCCCAAAGAGGATCTGGAGGCTGGAGGAGTTTGACTCCTACAGTGGCATATGGCAAGGGAGACGTGCCAGGTGCCACTGCTGGTTCTGCAGCAGCCTTGAAGGTTATGTGAGAGGTGACGTTGGAGACAAGGAGGTTGCTGCTGAAAAACTGGTGTGAATAGTGCGTTTTAAAGTTCTGATAAGTGGAGCAAGCTGGGAATCATGAAGCTAGTGACAGAAATAACGAGGACAGGTGGAGGTGACAGACTGACCAATTGGAAAAGCTGTGAGGGGCTGATACCAATGAGGAGTGGTCTTGAACTGTGGAGGATTGTGGTAGAGGTGGATGATCCTGAAATGAGGTGAGTTGAGGTCGAGGTGGATTGAGTCTGTTAAACTCCATCTCTTCAAATATGTCCATCAATCCAAGAGATGACAGGAGTGAAAATTCTGGTTCTAAAACTGTCTTGAGGTGAGAAGCAAGACTCGCCCTTCCCCAAGGTGAGGTTATGGTGGAAATATTGACCAGTTTTAACCTGATAGTTCTTAGAAAGTCCTTGGCTGGTTTCTAGTATCATGTTGAAGGTTGGTGAAGTTGTAGGACCCAAACACAGAGAGACAGAGGCAGGAGCTGAATTTGATGATTTTATGAAAAAATGATGAAATGCAAAATATATCTAAGAACATCCAGCCAGGAGACACTGGGAGAATACGGGGAAGCAAAGGGAAATGACTGGAGGAACCAGCCAGGAGTGACTGATAGAGAGGAGCTTAAGTACTGGGAGGTTGATTGCTGAAACGAGAAGAACTGGGCTAATTGGCAAACTTATCGCAAATATGAGGGGGAGAGAGGAGAAATTCAGACTGAGAAGCAGACTTTTGTTCTCTCTCTGCGGTGAGAGAAAGAGAGGAAGAGAGAGAGACCGGAAGAGAGCGACAGAGCGAGCAAATGTGCACAGGGGACTAGAAAATAAATCAACAGGAAACAATAAGAGACACAAAAAACTATTAAACTACTGTAACTAAGAATAACTAGAAGAAATATATGTGACTAGAAATACTAGGACAGACTGAGCAATCAATACAAAACTAATCTAATCAAAATAAGAAATAACAGAATAGTGATGAACTAAAATAACTAAGAAAGATCTGGACCAAAGTAAAACAAAACATATCAGATCTAAATAAAAGAGCAACTGAGAAACACAGAAAACAAAATCCAACTAATCAACCAAAGGTATGACAGTTTGCTGAACTTTCCTAACACAAACCCAAAATTGTCTGAAATTGCCCAAACACATGAATTCATGGATTACTGCAGCTAATCCATGCTAATGATACTGCAGGTCTTTTATCTGCTGAACCCACCTGAAAAGTTGATGTGCTTCAGGGAAGAAGAGTTGATGCAATGGCAACAATAGCTCAGTTACAAAAGTATTTGAAGGATTTTATTTTCACTTTCAGATTTAACAGATCATGTGATTTATAGGAAGACCCACTGGATTATATGATACATTCAGTATATTGAGTAGAAATCAGTTTTTATTTGAATACTATGAATTTGAATGTTCATTTTAAGGCTTTGCTTGATCAAAGAAAAGACAATGAGGTACATTAAGTCATTGACCATCTAACTAAAACAGAGATGCTCTCACTGTTATCCTTCTTCACACACGTTTACACATACTTTACTTTCAGTTCTGGACTCATTTCCCCCCGCCAAAAAAGCAATGCATCCTTATCTTCTGCACCCAGTCTTCACCTCATGACGGGAAACAACCAATAAACTTAAACTTTTTCATATACCATGAAGTCTCACCTGACAACTTCCACTTCCACCATCTAAATGTCCATTGTTCTAAATCTAAACCATCCAATGTCTGGAAACACAGGTTAACAGCAACAAATCAGTAAATGTTCATTCATATCAATGTAATCAATAAATGCAAAATAATTCTTAGCAAAATAAACCAAATGTGTAAATGAATATATATAGTAAAGAGGTGTAACTAACCACTGTAACTAACAGAATGGTATACATAAGATAAAAAGGCAACAAGAAAGCATATGATAATATATTGATAATGATAAAACTTTTCCAAGAGTGTGTCAGTGTAGTCGTCTCCGAAGTCAATCATTAGTTTCAGAGCGCTCAGGATCAGAGCGTCGATGTCTGAATCCAGATAAGTTTCACTGCTGTAGTTCTTCACTGGGAGGATGCAGTTCATTGGGATCCCCAGACTGGAGCTGAAGTCAGCCATCTATATTTAAAAACATCAAAAATATTTTGAGCCAGTTTATTAGTTCATTTATTATTCTGTTTTGAATCAATCTTTCTAAGACTCACCTTTTTCTTTAAATATTTGCTCCTATAGACGTTTTTCAGATTTTTCTCTGTTTCCCCACAGGCTGCATCGATGTGGGTGAGAATCGCCAGCTGAGGGATTCCTGTGGATACAGAGTTTGCTATTTCTTGTATCTGAATATTGTATTAGCAATAAACTGATTTTAACAAGTATATAGAAGTAATTCTTCTAAGATGAGCTGTAGGATTTTTTTTTTAGAAATGAAAATTATGAAATCATGTATAAAAGACTAATCTGCAACATGGTTTTTCTACCACTTTATGCAACCCCTATCATTGTTGAAGTAAAATTTGTGTATTTTGCATTCTTGTGTTTGCAGTTACATTACTTTACTGAATGAAGGTTTAGTGCAGGGGTCACCTGAGTGAAGTTGGCC